GACGGCCGCTCACTGCGGCTGCTGGCCGCTCACGCTGGCTGCTGGCTACACATGGTAGCCCATGGCAACCCACTGCCACAGGGACTGCAGCCTACACCGTCGCCAGAGACTCAGGGCAGCCCAGCTCCAGGTTGAGCTGTTGTTCAGCATCTTAGCTGTAGAGGGCAGTGTCACTGGCACTCATATGTGGGATCCGAACCGGGGCCCTCTGGCATCCCAAGCGAGTTCTTAACCATTGCGCCACTCGGCCGGCCCCCCACATTACTTTTTAAACCTTATCTTCCATTAGTCTCCTCTATCAGTTTTGTTCTAGCCAAACTGGTTTTCCTGAAGTTATACAACAGACTCACACTGTTTTTAATTGCTTTGACAGCTCCACCCACTTAAGAGTTTAGAAGGGGTGGGGGTGTGTATGATGGGTTAGAAATAAAATGGTTGAAAATAATTTACTTCCTCTCTTTCTTCATCTCCTTTAAGATCCACTGTAAAGTGTCCTCCACCCACCTATTATAAATAGGGCATATAAACAATTCATTTGAGTATGAGTACAAGCATATTAACAAATTTGTTCTGCCTCGCAACTTTTTTATGGATTCAAAATGTGATTTTTAATAATTATTTAACTTATCATATGGTTATTTCCCCAAAGAATGAGCTCCTCAAGGGAACAGAGCTGCTTATGTGGCGCATGTGCTTCTTTATATCAGATAGTAGGTGTCTTGCATATAGTATGTACTCAATAAATATTGGCTAATTTTATTAATTTAACTCATATTACAAAGGGTTATCAGTAAAAATGTTAGTCGGAAAACACTGCTGAGAAATTTGGAGATTTTAAGAATTACATGTAATGGAAGCTTTATGAGGAATATGCGAACCACAGTAAAAAAAAAAGTTATTTTGGAGGTCGATTTCCTTTAAAACCAAACAAACAGAAATTTATTGTAGAAATATTAAACACATTTAAGGTGAATATTTTCATCTATAATTAAATATGCCAATATGTTAACAAAATTATTCTAATTTCTGTATTCCTTTTCAATCTTGATCCAAATGTATATATACTTTACAGATTTGGAAATACATAATCTGAAGTTCTGTTATTCAGTTAGTTTTGCTTTTGAGTTGCTATTAGTCTTTGTATATACTATTTTTACTGGCTGCATAATATGGACTTAACATAATTTACTTAACTACACCTCTGTTAGCCAATACTGTTTTCCTTTATTTTCTCTAGGTCCACATCTTATATGCTACATAATTTCAAACTACCTCTAGCTCACTGAGGTCTGACAATTAAGTTCATGAACTCATCCTAGAAAAAGTGCTACATACCTAAGCTATGCACCAATGCCAGCGCCTAGTCCACCCTTTAAAGCAATTTTGGAACTCTTTTTCTGGAATGGCCATCAGAACTGTTGTCGTAATACCCTTGATGTCCTGAATGTCATCAAAATGTCTTCCTTTCAATATTGCCTTTATTTTAGGGTAAAGAAAGAAGTCATTGGAGGAAAAAAACCAAAGGAGTAGGGAGGGTGTTCCAATAGTTATTTGTTTACTGGTTAAAAGTTCCCTCACAAACAGTGCCGTGTGAGCTGGTGCATTGTCGTGATGCAAGAGCCATGAATTATTGGCGAAAAGTTCACGTCGTTTTCATTTAACTTTTTCACAGAGCCTTTTCAGAACTTCCAAATAGTAAACTTGGTTAACTGTTTGTCCAGTTGGTACAAATTCATAAAAATAATCCCTCTGATATCAAAAAAGGTTAGAAACATCGTTGCAACAAGTTTGCAAACTTAATTGTAAGACCTCATATATATGTTTATATATATATAAACAGGATAAAAAATGGTACTTTTGATGGAGGGCAGAGTGATCTAGTACAAAGAGGCTGAATTCAAATTGACTCAGGTGTAAATCCCATCCCAGCTCTGCCATTTACTAATTGCATGACCTTGCACAATATAGTTATTGCTCATCCCCCCAATCTGCTTTTGGGAAGGATTGAACAGGCACTCAATCAATGTAAATTTATTTTCCTACTAGTGACAAAGGTCTTTCATCAACAATAGTTCGCATGAAGAGGCAACATTCATTGACAAAGTTGCCATGCACTGAGTTTGCTTAACATTCTTTACTCTCCTCCATGACATCCAGAGATTTCATTTTCTCACTTAATTGCAAAGAACAAGAGCCTCTACTGCTCTGGGGCTATAAAACCCATGCTCAGTTTTGAGATTACAAATTGATTGCATGTTGGCCACATTTATCCCACGATGTTTAGTTTGGCCTTCAGGGTTTTGAAATACTGGTTGCTAACATTTAAAAATAGAGATATTTCACACACAAAAAATCCGGCTTTAGGGTTTCTCTTTGGAGAAAAAAACCACAGAATACCTCAGAACACTGGACCCACATTCCTGAGGGCAACAATCTGCTAAGATCTGAACAGCTGCTCCCTTCAGTTACAGCATGGACACTCCAATTTGCCACATTCCTTATTATTCCTCACTGTCTTCCACCAGGCCAGTTTTACTCATTTGCTTTACTTTTCTGGTCCCTGTAAGACCTGTCTCTCATCAAAGCTTACTTTGTTTTGTCCTAAGTCCCTCATCAGTTATTCAAGGCAACAGCTATATAATCTGATTAGCCATAGGTATTTTTACATGCGCTTTCTAGAGCTAGTATTTTAACAGAAAGAGATGACTCTTCAGGTGGAAATTATGGGCGCCACGGGATTACAATCAGGATAGCAAATGTCCATTCTACTTTTTCTGCTATCCTGACGTAGACATACCTCACTGTGCTCAGACAAACCAAAGGAAGTGGTTTTCTGTAGAACGAACACCCGGCTACATGTGAAACCTACTTAAATAACATTTTCATTGATCACCCTAGTTCCAAAGGACCAAAAGCTACTACGGGCTATTCTATTCTGACTCCCCATTTCCTCGGAGGCTTCAGGATATCCGGCCTGACGGCATTTCCCTTCACCTGATTTCGGGGCCCGTATTGCGCTGGGCAGTCGCGCCCACGGAGCGCGCGCATCCAGCATGAGCTCATTTCTCAGGGGGCGTTTCCAGAAGGACGGCCTGGCCGCGCGCACCAGGCACACTCAGCCTCACTCTAATCAATGGCCCCCGTGGCTGGGCGTGGCGCAGCTCTCTGAAAGCTTTGTTCCCACTCTAGCATCTGTGAGCTCGCACCCCGCCGGGGAGGCGCCTGGATCCGTCTGGCCCTTGCGGGGAAGACGCTGATACTCCGGACGCGCTATCCCGGGCAGAGAGGAGTCTCGGAGGCGCGAAACTAGCCGCGCCTCGCCTAAAGCCTCTAGTCGGTGGGGAGAGCCCCTAAGCCCTCTGCTCGCCTGAGCGCTCCGAGCTCAGCCCAGCCGACCGCAGCAGTTTCGGACCGGTTGTGTGCAGGGCCCGCAGTCTCTATTTGCGGTTTCCACATGGTCTGAGAGCTGCCGCCACGACCCCAGTCGAGCTGCTTCTGGCTCCTGGGACCGCCGCCGGAGGTCGAAGGCCAATCACATTGCAGCTAGGTCTTGCGATTGGTAGGCAGTGAGTGCCGATTGGCTACCGCTAGGGTTTCGTCCTCCCTCCCTTTCCCTTTTGCCCCAACTCGAGCTCCAAAGCTTCAAGCCAATGAGAAGGCGCTTTATATACGCCCTCCTTTGCTTTCTTCTCCTCGCCTCGGCGAGGGAGGAGGCGTTCTGACTGGCCAGACTGTCCTCGGAAGCCCCCTTCCTTTCACCAATCACCAAGGGAGGTACACTCCCAGCGGAGTTTTCGGCCAATTACAAAGCAGCTACGGAGCCCAGCCGTGCTGTTTCACCGGCGACTCGGAGTTGCACTGCCCTTAACTCTTCAAGCGGTTTCGTGAGGACCGCGACTCTGATTGGCCACTGTTGCCACTGTCGAATTTTCCTAGCCAGCCACAGAACAAGGCGAACCCACCTTCTTTTGGTTCGGGCATCTTCGGCATTTTTCGCTCTTTGGGCGTGGATTTCCAGCGACACATTCTAATTGGGTCCTCAGGTCCATCGGCTTTTTCCGGGAGGAGCCGCAAACATACGACGTCCGTGATTGGCTACACTCGGGCTTCGGCTCTTTAGCCGAAGCAGCGGGCGAGGGGCTCGGCCGGCGATTCCCAGACGCCTGTTACGCGGGCGGCGGGGCGCTGGGTGGTGTAAGGCTGGGTGGGGGAGGAAGGAGGCGGAGGACGAGTAGGAAGGGGGAGGGGGAGTGGGGAAGAGCTAGGCGGCTGCGCAGACGGCTCTCCTCACACAGAGCAGCCCCTGACCCGGGCGAATGCGGGTTTGTGCTGCCGTCGCCGCCGCCGTCGTCCGGGCCGAGTGACAAAGGAAGGAAGGAAGGAAGCAAGGAGGAGCCGGCCCCACAGCCGCTGACAGGGCTCCGGGCTGGGGGCAAAGCGCGGACACTTCCTGAGCAGGCACCGAGCACAGGCGAGGGGCGGGAGGGCGACCGCGCTGGTGCCGTGGACGGGGGAGGGGGCCCTGAGGGACGGAAGCGGTTGCTGGGTTCCCATGTCCCCGGCGTATGGGGAGCAGTCAAGGAGCCGCTGCTTGGGATCTGAAGGGAGCTGCCTCTGCCACCGCCATGGCCGCTGGATCCAGCCGCCGCCTGCAGCTGCTCCTGGCGCAATGAGGAGAGGAGCCGCCGCCACCGCCCGCCTCTGACTGACTCGCGACTCCGCCGCCCTCCAGTTTGCCGAGCCCCCGCCGTCAGCCCGCCGGATCCCGCCGCTGCCGGAGCCGCAGCGTTTCCCGTCGCATCTCCGAGCCACCCCCCTCCCTCCCTCCTTCCCATCCCCCTTCTTTTCAAGCGTGAGACTCGTGATCCTTCCGCCGCTTCCCTTCTTCATTGACTCGGAAAAAAAATCCCCGAGGAAAATACAATATTCAAAGTACTTATTTTCAATCAAGTATTTGCCCCTGTTTCGCGTGATATATATATATATATATATATTTTTAGGATTTCTCCCCCTCCCTTTTCTCCCCTCCAAGGAAAGGGAGGGGAAAGAATTGTATTTTTTCCCAGCCCCAAATCATCTATATGTTAAATATCCATACTGATCTGTCTTGAAGGAGAAATACATCGCTCGTTTTTTTATAGCTATACAAAAGGAGTGAAAAGCCAAAAGGACGAAGTCTTTTTCTTTTTCTTGTGGGAGAACTTAATGCTGCATTTATCACTAACCTAACACCCCAACATAAAACAAAAGGAAGAAAAGAGGGAAGGAAAAGAAGGTGATTCAAAAAAAGAGCAATCATGTCAGGCCGGCCCAGAACCACCTCGTTTGCAGAGAGCTGCAAGCCAGTGCAGCAGCCTTCAGCTTTTGGCAGCATGAAAGTTAGCAGTGAGTATTGATTTTATTTTACACCCCTTCTCCACCTTACCCTTAGAATAACAGACCTTGAAATACCAGGATCTTAAAATCTTAGACCTCCTGATATAACAATTAGAGGTAATGGAAAAAGGCAAAAACCTGTCTTCAGTCAAGGATGAGGCAGCTCCCTCTTTTCTCCTCCCATACTCCCTCCCCCGGTCTCATTAACCTTGAATTGAGAGAATATGATTTTTATTTGGATGATTTGGTTTGAACCTTATTGTTTTCCTTAAACTTTCCTTGCTGTTGATAGCTTCATCAAGTGCTTAAGTATTTCCACGTTAAAATAGTGATGGAAGTGTTTACTTGCTCATCTTTTTGGATAAAGAGAAGGACAAGACTTGATTCATAAACCATTATGTACGTTTGCTCAGTGTATGTCTTTTGGAATGAGGGATATTTTAGTTAGCTCAGGTCTCAGAGGTTATCATAGTTTTGTATACTTAATAGAGAGACTGAGTGTCACAGTCTCCTAACATTTCTTTCTTGCTTAACTATGCAAAGTATTTGTTCTTAATCCTGAAATCAACTTGCTCAGTTAACGTTGGGAGGCAAGCATTGATTCTTCCCTTTACAAGGGGCGGGTGGGAACTGATACTCAGTAGCAGCAGTATGTCTACATGGCATTGTTTTAAATTGGATAAGTGGTTTTATATGTTCACTTAACCTTCCTGTTTTGACATTACCAATCTACCACTATATAATTATGTTTAATCAAAAGATAACTTGGAAGTAGGTCCAAGTTTTGATTGAGGTTTGTATTGTCATGCTGCCAAATACTAAGTTGAATGTTAATGTTAATTGTTACTGGCTCCATTATTTAAGTTCAATTTTGGGGTGCTATTGCATTCAGTACTTGTTAAGTGATCTGGAGTTCAGGGGTCCCTTCTTAGGACTATTTAAAATACACTTGCATTGGTTTCCTGTCACATTTAGATAAAAGTATGGATTTAATTATAAGAATATGGATTTAGATCTTTCCATCATAGGTATTGCAGAAGGCTGTGGTCCTGGATATAATAGGGAAATTTGGGTTGTGTTCAGGGTTGTTGCTAGACTGTATTGTTGTCCCAGATTTGTGCTGAAAAGTCTGTGTTCTTGAGGTGTTGGTTATACTAAGTATCCAATGTTCAGATGTATCTCTTATTTGTGGATATGTTTATGTGCTATTTAATGACAGTTTATTTAAACATACATCCAGAATTTGACAAAAATAGCTATATTTTCTTATTCCTCGGGAAAGGGGCATGATGAGGACAACGAAAAACTAGTTTGTTGCCTAGAAGAAGGAGAGAACTGAAGAACTGAGATTTTTTTTAAAAAAAGGTATATGCTGTTATGTGAAATTGATTATATCTTTAAGCAACATAAAATTATTTTAATTGAACTCAGGATTTCAATTCATGTTGGCCTTTGGAACTTGCCAGAAACAGGGTAGTAGTCTAAGCTAATAGCTGAATGGGAGATTATTTTTGAAAGTTAATTTTTTTTTTTCTTTTGGTGACTAGCTTGTACAGAATGCAGGGTATGTGAAGCTGATGGTGCATCTTTCAGGGAAGGATCAGGCTTTCTAAGCACTGGGGTCATTTGAAAGGAATATTTTAAAATTCTAGGGTAATTTTCAGCTATGATGAAGCAAATTTTGTAATAGCTACTTAAGAGCCTCTTGTGGTACTGGAGTGTTTGCTTTTCATCTTGGTAATATAGTTTAAAAACCACTCAAAATCAATTTTAGGTAATTAATTTATTAGATCTGTTTCAGAGAGCAAAATAGAATAGCTTACAATGTTAAATTTTTGGACTTTTCATTTTGTTTTCAGGATTTTGTTTGAAAATGACTTCTTAATTCTCGATAGTGAAGATGTTGGCTGATAGGGTAACCCTTGTAAAGTGTGTAGGTTAAAATGTTTAATTATCTGTTACCATGTAGGTCAACTTAACATTAAAAAGTTGGAGTTCGGTGCTAATTGTTTTTGACAACATTGACTTTAAGGACATTTTAGAAGGGAATCGGTAAACATTGGTTAGAGTGCTAGTGTTCTAAGGGACCCCTGTTCATGTTCAAAAGAGATACATGAGAAATTGTAGTCCTGGGCCTCAATAGCTTATTATTTAGTTGTAGAGGCAGGCTATAGGACAAAATATGAAAACAATACTGTGATGATGTAAGTTTATAAATACAAATAGAATGCTTTATTCAGAGGGACGAAGAATAAAGGAGGTGAGGCCAAATGGATTGGAGAGGGAAGACTTCTTGCAGAGGTGTGTTTTAAGACAGGTGTTAAAGGAGGCAGTAACTTCAATTGATAGAGAAGCATAAAGGATTCTAGATGGAAGGAATGGACAGAGGTACAGAGATGGTAATTTTTGTATGACAGGTAAGTGATTTTTGTATTTACTAAGCAGGTTGGTAAATTTGAATTAGAGGGGCATAAATTGGAAATAAGAAGTGATGGAATTTGAGAAATGTGTTCCTATTAGCTGATGGAGGGAGAAGGGGCCTGTAAGAATTTGGTTGAGATTCAAGAGAGATTGGAATTTACTGTAGATTGCTGAACCAAGATTTTGAAAATGATTTGGGTAGCTGAGTTGATGGATTAGAGACATTAGAACCCTTTTAGGGAGATTGTAGGGTATGTTGTGAATCATGAGGGAATATAAAATAAAATGTGAAAATGGGATGAAAAGAACACATTTGAGAGAACAGTGTGAGTGAAAAACTGGCAGGATTTTGGATTGGATTGAAGGGGAATATTTGGGAAGGAGTCAGGAGTTAAAAATAAATTCTGATGTTATTGGTCTGGAAGACTTGACCGCCAAGTTATATGTTGATTGTAATGGGAAGGTTGAGAAAGTGCTGAGATGAGAGGGTAGATGAGTTCACTTTTTAAAAATTTAATATACAATAGATTCCCTTGAAATTCAGCAGACAGCAGTTGGTTGCTGGCAATGATATTTAATTTTCTAGCCTATTAAAATTACAGTTTCTAATTTTTCTGCACCTAAAAATGTTGGATTTATTTTTGGGATTAGTAAACTAAATGTTTTTATTTAAATGCTTTCCATTGAAGTCCTAAAGAACATAATTTTTTATGTAGAATTCGCATAAAAGCCTCATACTTGAAATCTGCTTGGAATAGTTCTGTGGTTATTTAATGATAACAATGAAATTTATTATTTTTTTGCTGTGAGCTAAACTGTGACTTAAAAAATTTCAGGTATTTTACACATCCTTTAATCTTTGGTACAACTTAAAACGTGTTTTCCATAAATAATGATTATTCTCAGGTAAACCTTGCATTTAAAATAATGGTAGTAATAGTAACAGCAGCCTTCACTTGGTTTGTGAAGGCTTCAAGCAGAAATTAAAAGTTGATTTTGTAACAAGTAGTGTTTGCCTTTTTTGTTGAGCTAAGCATTCATCCCAAGTTTAAATCAGTATATTTGAAATATTTCTTTTTATGTGCTGTGGTGAAGCCAACATTTCTTTTTTAGTCACATCTAGAGTCAAATGTTATTAAATAAATGTTAATGGCTAATATTCCTTCTGTAGAATAACATGATATTATACTCAAAATAGAGAAAATAGTACTGTCTATGGTGATTTTGGTTAAAATATTAGTAATAAATCCTTTGGTATACTGTTGGTGAAAATTTAGCTAATTGCCTAAGCTTAAATATAAGATTGAAAAGAAGAAAATAAGTCGAGTATCATTTAAGTTATTGCCTCATATAAAGCATTTTTAGATCAATTTTTTTCAGTGAAGAATGATTAATAGTAGTTATATATTATTGTGCAGTATTTAGTCCTATGGTGATTAAAACCGAAGAGTAGGTGGCAACTTAGAGTTCGTCTGTTCCCAAAGGAGTGTAATCTCTTTGTGACATCCAAAAATTAGGTTATTAGAATTTAGCCAATTTCTAGATTATCCATGTTGTTATGGAAGAGAGCTCATGTGTGAGACTGAAAACCAGAACCTTATTTTCATTAAGTTTTCATTCTTTTCCCAACCAGACCTTTCCAGAGTTAAGACACTAAGATCCTCATATAAAACTTGCATGCTCTCTTGTTGCATGTGCCTGTAGAAGGGAAACTTCAAGGGAACCCAGGGATTCACAAATCAATTTGTAGCTCATTGGGAATTGCATTTAGAAAAGGAAGTGACATCTTTTCATTTCACTGGCATAGTTCAACTGAAAATCAGTACTTGCACCCTGTGCTGCCTGCCCCTTGTTTTGGACTTGAGTTGCAGGTGTGAGAAGCAGCAAGCCTGGAAAAGCCAGAGTTTTTGTGTCAGCAGCAGGTTCTGAACTGAAGGAGCTGGTGTGTGTGTGTGTGTGTGTGTGTTCTTAATGTATAGAGAAGGCTGTGAAACATGCATGTGCTGACTCTGGTTGCCACAGTTTCATACTTTTTAATAAACATTTGTTAGAGTGTTAATGTGCTTAATTTTTTTAGTAAGACTCATGGGATTGTGAGACTGGGATGGGGATGGGCAGGCGATGAGATTGTGTTCTCTTGTGATGCTCCACCCTACAATGGAGAATGGAGGGGCAGAGCACGTGGGTGTGACAGGAGTATATGCTAGTAGTAACAGGACCAACCTGATTTCCTGGATATGGTACTACTAAGAATATAATCATCATGAGTAAATGAATTTGTTGGAATGTTTAGTATTGTTTTCTAGCATATCTTTTTGGGGGGGGCGGGGGGAGAGGGTGTGTGAAAAGGGAATCTTGCATGATTTCAAGGATATAAGTATTTTTATGGTTCATTGGTTTTAAAGTAGAGGTTGCAATCTTTGTTCCTGTCTTAGGTCTTACAAATCTTCCTTGATCATATAAATATCTTTGAAATTGGTTGAATGTGACATAGAAATGTCTACTTATTTAAAGACCTGTGTAAATAGAACAGAAAAGAAAAACTGACAGTAGAGTTAAAGGAGAATAATTTGTTTTCCCAAAAGCTT